AAAAAATCAATGTTCTCATTCTTGAGAAGAAGTTTAGAGCATTGCAGGGTCCGGGATTGATGATTACATCCTGGTTGAGCAAAGAAGAATGGTAATATCCTGGTGACATCAAAAAGAGCAAGATCATTAATTACAATGTTCTGATCCCGGGAACATGAGGAAATACTAAAATCAATCACAAGTGGGGATTTCCAAGATGGGAGGGGGAAGGAGGCAGGTCATTCAGCAGTCAACACAGTGGAGCCAGCCTGCCCCCCTGTATCGAGAGCAGAGGCTGGGGTGCGGTGGGCTGGGCGCTGGGCCTGCAGTCCAAGACATCAGGCCCTCCGGGGGAGCAAAATGAGGATGCTGACAGGTCTGAGACCTGCCCCCAATGTGTCACCGAGCCCTGGACCCATCCATGTCACCGGCTTTCCAGGGTCCCTTGGGTCATACACAGGGCTGGAAGGAGGCGGCACTGGCATGAGGCGGGAAGGGGAGCCCTGGAATAGTGACATCACAGTGACCTCAGAGGATGCCATTGTGACCTGCCCGCCTAGGAGCCAAGTGGGTACAGAAGGCGGGTGCCAGAGCCAGAGGTCTCACAGAGAAGCTGGTCCAGGAGAGAAGGTGGCCACGCTGCTAACATGCCTGCTCCTCACCTGTGATGGCTCAATTTTATGTCAACCTGAGGCACCTGTGTGAAGACAGGAGTGGCGTCCAACCTATCAATCGGGTTGCAGCTTGATGAGTGACATTCAACCTTGTCAGGAGGGAGCATATGAGCAAGAACAATGGGACTGAAAGAAGACGTTCAAGGTGCACTGAAAGCACCGGTCAAAGAGACGTTTCCACAAGCTCCTGATGCTCGGGAAGCTCTTTCTATGCCAGGAAATTTAGAAGGCAGCTACCTGGCCAGCAGATGGGAAGAGATCCCTATCTGTGCCCATTCCAAAGAAAGGGACGGACAGAGCCTCAAATGACTGACCAGTCCCATGCATATCACGTGTCGGTAAGCTCGTGCTGCAGATCCTCCGCGGACAGCAGTGGCAGCAGGGCCCTGACAGAGCGGCAGGAGGCTCAGGCTGAATTCGGGAGCTCCGTAAGATCCCTCTGACTGATGGCAGAGGACACCAGGAAGATACTTCCTTGTGTTTTCCGGATTCGACTGAGGCGTTCAACTGTGGGGGCCATAACAAACGCCGGATAGCCTCGAGAAGGATGGGAATCCCAGAACAGGTTCTTGTGTTCCTGCAGAACGTGAACGTCAGTAA